TACTGCTTCCCCCATGAATGCCTCTCCTTCTACCGATGCTTCATGCCTTTACTGCTTCCACCATGAATGAAGTAGCAGCAGTAGGCTATTTGGGTCCTCACGTCCTCGCTTAGGATGCGACCCACACCAGTCAACTAACTCTAAATATCTACTTACTGCTGGGTAAAAGGGAGAGCAGGGGCTAATAGTGCTGCTCCCATGTGTCTTGTCATGCTCGGGATTCGACCCGAATTTCTTCGGTTGTGAGCCGAACGCTCTACCAACATTAAATAAGCAAACAAGCTGACGAACCCCTTCCACCGCTGATGTGCAAACTAAGGCACATGCAGGGCGCAGGTACGATGAACGCATGACAACACTGCAACCCCAGCTGGTGCTCGTACCTGCGTTTACTCCCATCGTCAATCCCAGCTGGTGCTGATACCTGGCTGGCGGTGGAGGTACTGCAGGGGAGGGGGTACACGAGCGTGGAGGTACAATGGAGTGCTGGAGCGGGTGGAGGGTCGGAGCTAGGAGTACCTGGTCCCAGAGTTTATCCACTTCTTCATTGATCTCTAGAGGAGGGTGATGAAGGAGAGTGAAGTTGGGGGTGATGGTAAGGGATGATGGTTAGGGGTGATGGTGGTGAGGTGATGGTGGGGGTAGGTAACTTTTACGAAGTGAACCATGGAGCTGGAATACAAGGAGTGCGGTAGACAGGAAGGAAGGTAGATAAGGGAGAAATAGAGGAACAGAAGGAGGCAGAAGTGGATGGGAGGCAGAAAATGAGGGAAACAAGATGGAAGGAGTATGGGAGGAGAGCAGAAAGGGAAGGGAGGAGGTGAGTGAACGAGGGAAACTGGGAGGAGAGTAGAGAGTAAAGGAGGGAGGCTGGGAGGAGAGCAGAGAGGGAGGAAGGCTAGAAGAGTAGAGAGGGAAGGAGGGAGGCTGGGAGGAGAGCAGAGAGGGAGGAAGGCTAGAAGAGTAGAGAGGGAAGGAGGGAGGCTGGGAGGAGAGCAGAGAGGGAGGAAGGCTAGGAGAGTAGAGAGGGAAGGAGGGAAGTTGGCTGGAAGAAAAGGTGGCGAAGCAGGCAGGATAAAAAAAAAAAGGGGGGGGGGAGGTCGAAGAGGTAAGCAGGGCATTCATGTAGAAGGAAAACTAGGATGAAAGGCAATCAGAAAGGCAAATATGAAGGCAGGGGGGGGGAAAGGATATACAATTTGTTCGTCAGGAGAAAGGAGATTTCTCCTGACGTCGATGTTGGTCACATCATGACGTCAACACAAGATGTTCTGGTCATGTGAGCAAAACCTCAGCTCAAACACTGAGTGTCCGTGGCTCGATGCCTTATAAGGGTGGAAACATTGGGCGTGTTTCCGTACACCTGCTATCCCTGTTCACCTAGCAGCAAGTAGGTACCCGGGTGTTAGTCGACTGGTGTGGGTGGCATCCTGTGGGGTGGTAGTGTACCTCAGACAGGACTGTGTTTTGAAATGAGCCGAGGTAGGATAACAGTTCTTGGACTGTAAAACTGATTCGTGTAAAAATTTTTTTACTAGCTTACCCGTCCATCACTTCTAAATTAAACGTTATATCACATCATCAGAAACAAAGTGTTAATGTTGTGTACATCGAGGCTACCTGCTGATAAAACTGCTTGCTTTATCTACAGACAAACAGTTGTGAATACTGGCTATAAGGGAATCGTTTCTCGCTCACAAATAGCAGAGTTTCGAGCCTTTTCCATTTCATGGCGCTGAATAATAGGTTTAGCACATCACATAACTATTACTACTGCTAATACTACTACTATTAATACTAAGAAACTTATAGTCTTCAAACTATGCTAAAGGACTAAACACAACAATGTATCTACCTTATCTGCTAGAAAAATGATAGGATGGATAATGAGAACCTTCAAAACTAGGGACGCCAAGCCCATGATGACTCTTTTCAAATCGCCGCCTTCTCTCTAGGCTGGAATACTGCTGTGCACTAACTGCCCCCTTCAAGGGAAACGAAATTGCCGACCTGGAGAATATACAGAAACCTTTCACGGCACACATAAGTACGATTAAGCACCTAAATTACTGGAAACGGTTAAAATCCCTTGATCTGTATTCCTGGAACGCAGGCGAGAAAGATTCATGATAATATACATTTGGAAAATCCTAGACGGATTAGTACCAAACCTACGCACGAAAATCACTCCCTACGAAAGCAAGAGACTCGGCAGGAGATGCAGCATTTCCCCAGTGAAAAGCAAGAGCGACACGAATACACTGAGAGACAACATAAGTGTCAGGTGGCCAAGACTGTTCAACTGCCTCCCAGCATACATAAGGGGGATTACCAACAGACCCCTGGCTATCTTCAAGAAGGCGCTGGACAGGTACCTAAAGTCAGTACCTAACCAGTCGAACTGTGGTTCGTCGTCGCTTGACATGCATGCAGCCAGCAGTAGTAGCCTGGTTGATCAGGTCCTGATCCACCACGAGGCCTGGTCTCAGACCGGGACGCGGGGGCGTTGAACCCCGAACCTCCCTCCAGGTAAATCTATCCACTCTTCAGTGTGTAATTCACCTCTACATTCAGCTGAAGACGCTTCATGTGCAGACGAATTATTATAATCATGGGGGAGCGCAAAACCCGTAGGGATTAAACAGCGCCTGTGTGAGGAGGGGGAGGTGCAAAGTATTTAGGCTCAGTTCAGGGAACCGGAGCACATATCCAATTCCCTAGATCAAGAGCCCCTCACCAGCGTCAAGGAACCTTCCCTGATGGGATGTGCAGACGAAACGTTTCAGTAATAAAGTTACACCAACGCTGCACATGTGTCTAATTCTTCACATAAAATCCTCTTTCCTCATTCTATACCATCCTGAATTCCTCCTATATTCTTTTTTAATTCCTCCTCCTTCTGCCCCTTCTAATCCTTCCATATTTCTCCTCCTACACCACAGGCTGTAACAACTCTCTAACCTTTAATTAGTTACTTAAAAATTGTTGTTTTCTTTTTTCTTTCCCAGCACGAAAATATAAGGCATCCGAGTACAGTAAATTATGACAGCAGGCTGTGGTGTGTTTGTCTTTAAATGTTACGTGTTTTCTATAAATGTGACATGTTTTTCTCGAAATGTAACGTGTTTGTCTTTAAATGCGATGGGTTTGTCTTTAAATATTTCGTGTGTTTGTCTTTAAATGTGACGTGTGTTTGCTTAGAAATGTGACGTAGATATTTCACGAAAATACGAATTTTGTGTTTATAGATAAATTCTTCCTCTCCTTCTTTCATTTTTTTTCTCTTCCTTCATCTCACTCTTATTCCGCCCTCACCCATCCCCTCTCTCACACCCTTCATCATTTCCTCTTTCCTTTACTTATCGTTGTCGCATCTTACATCCCCTTCACCCTTCCCTCACCCAACATTATTGCTGTCTTCTCTTTCTCTTCCTTCTGCTCCTTTTCTTACTCCCACGAAAGGGAGCCAAGGCCAGGCCACCTCTTGGAAAAGGCCGGGCCAGGACACCTCTTGGAAAAGGCCCGGGCCAGGCCACGTCTTGGAAAAGGCCGGGCCAGGCCACCTCTTGGAAAAGGCCCGGGCCGGGCGATTGTACCGGCGAATCTACTACCTATTTCCTTTTCTTGTTTTTCCTCCTCTCTCCATCCTGTTTTTTCTTCCTATTTCACCTCTGTCTCTCTCTCAGCCTTCCTCCTCCTCGCTCCTTCCTACAAAACTTCTAAATTCTTTTTTTTTTACGACTCACATAATTATCTCAAGCGTTACCTAATTATCAGATAATCACCAGGCAATTACTCGTGAGTAATGTAGTTACGTATACATTCTTAAGATCTACTCTTCAAAGACGTGGTTGGGGGGGGGGGTTGCCATGATGTCTGCGAGAGGCTCTTAATTTTAAGAACTGGATAAAGAATTAGACACATGTGCAACATCTGGGTATCTTTATTTGTAGACGTGTCGCCCTCCAGTGGTTTCATCACCACAAGGACATAATTGGAAGATAGTAGAATTGTATACAGAAGCATGTCTCTATGTAATTGTTAATTTGTGATTACACTTTTTTTTACAGCATCGGTCGTCTCCCGCTAAAGCAAGATAATTACCAAGAAATGAAACACATTCACCATCATTCGCTCAATAGCTGAATTGCCAGAAGACGCGAGGCATCACAACTCACATTACCTTCCGATATGAAACATCCCAACCCCTGGTCATGGACCGGGCAGCGGGGGCGTTGACCCCCGGAACACCCTCCAGATATACACTACTTCCAGCAATTAACTTCGGCTAATCAGTTTCCCTGATTCCCTTCATAAATGTTACCTTGCTCACACTCCAACAGCACGTCAAGCCATAAAAACCGCTGGCCTCCACTCCATTCTAACTCGCTCACATCTGCCTTCTGGATGGCTAAACCCCTATCACTTAAAACTTCCTTCATTCCCTCCCTCCAACCCTTCCTGGGATGACCCCTAAACTACCTTCTAGCTACACGTGTAAAGTTGTGTAGTTGTGGGTTATTACAGTATTCAAGACGGTCCTAACATTTACAGAGGAAGATTTATTCTTCTATTTCCATGATCCGTGAGCAATTAAATCACCATTAAATTTTTGTGCTCCAGTGGCCTCGTAATTCTTGTACCACTGACCCAAACAATTAATTAAGATATCTCTATTACCTGGGTTAAGAATAAGTTTTCCTTTTGTATGCTTCTTGATGAAAAAAACTGAAATAGTTCATGATAAACGCTAAACTCACGTGGGTCATTCAGCGTAAGACGTGGTGGAGGCTTGATCCTCCACCACGCGAAACAAAAGCGCTTCCTATTTCTACTCACCTATTGTGCTTCATGACGGAGCTTTGCAATAATAATTGAAATCTCACATACATGAACGGTACGTGTACCTGGTTTGTCAATACTGCTTCACGCCCAGTATGCCCATGTGACCCATGACATCACATGCAAAAACTCGATACTTATAGATAAGAGGCACTTACCTGCGTGAGAGTGGGAGACTGGGTCCTCAGCGAAGAGGAGGAAGTTGCAGAATATAACGAGGTAAGCGATGATGAGTCTGAGCCACGGATGTTGGAAGTAGTACCTGAGGTCCTTGTCCATGTAGTACGAGTACTGGCTCTGCGTGTCTAATGACTTTCGTCTAACGAGTGGCGGGCCGCCCCCGGCCTCCTCCTCCAGCCAGCGACGCTCCAGGGAGGTGTTGGAACCGTTGGCCGTGCCTCCCGCTGCTTCCAAGTTCCCCGTCACTCCCCCGCGACACTCATCCGCTGGAGTGTAGATATTAGTGTGCAGGTCGAGTGTGTCGCCGAAGCTCAATCTCTTCTGTATCTTGGTCTTTATGTCTCCTTTTTCGACCTGCACGACGGAGTGGGCGACGGCAGGGTGAGAGGGAGAACACAAGGTGTCTGAGGCAAACTTGGTGATGGGGGAGAGGGCGGGGAGGGCTGGCGTCTGGTCCTGTGAAAGGGCCGGCTTCAGGGAGTCAGTGGAGGCTCGGTGGTCCGGATACGCTGGACGAGCCGACGGCTCGCTCGACGACAGCTCCGCTAGGTTCCAGGAGACGCTGCGTCCGTAGGAGGTACTACCGGAGCTGCCGCCGTCGATGTAGGACAGCTGGGGGGACACCTCCCGCCAGAAGTTGGTGTTGCGGGCGGGGACAGAGTTGGGCGTGAGGGCGCGAGGGGAGGCGGGCGTGGGTGAGCCGTCGCTGAGGTCGCAGCTGGCTGCCCTGCGCGACTCCAGGCTCTTGATGAGTCGCTCCAGCTGCTCCAGCTGCAGCATACCCCCGTCAGGGCTCTCCGGCTCCCCACCATCACCCGCTTGCTGCATCTCTAGGTGACCACTGGCCCCTCCCCCAGGGTTGTGGCCCTCATCACGCCCTCCACCCCCAGGGGTCACCCTCACACCCTGACTGGGCCACTCCGTCACACCCTAGGCCCCGTCACACCCTAGGGCCCGTCAAACCTAGGCTGAGGGGGCGATGACCCCCGAATACGTCCTTCAGATATCCCTCAGGTATCTTCTTGAAGACAACCAGAGGCTCGCTGGTAATTCCTCTTATCCCCGGATGGAGAGTGTTGAAGAGTCGGGGACCTCTGACACTCAGGAGAGTGCTTGGAATCAGTCACACCTATGCTCCGTCACACCCTAGGCTCCGTCACACCCTAGGTTCCGCCACACCTAGGCTCCGTCACGCTGCTTGAGGTCAGTGTGTTCCAGTACTCCAACACAACACACACACACGGTTCACTATTTACTAATGACAGCGCGACCTAACCAACGCCGCGCGCCGGCCGTGCGGGCGTGGGCGTGGGCGTGTGTCTACACGGCGGGGTGGGCGCCCACTTCATGGCGCTGCGGGTGGGATGTGGTGGGCGTGGGCGTGAGAGGCCCCGGCATGGTGAGGGTAGGCCTACACCGGCCAGCTCACTGTGCTCCCTGCAAAACAGAATACAGTAAGTGCCAACACCTGAATCATACATGTATTTGTTGATACATTAGACGCATGTACAACACTTGGGTATCTTTATTGTGGAAACGTTTCGCCACACAGTAACCACTGTGTGGCGAAACGTTGCCTCAGTGAACATACCAAGTGTCTAATTTATCAATTTGTCGGTCCTTTAAACTATTTATTTTCGTTACTGTGTATTTATGTATACGTGTCTGTGTTTATGTATACATACGTGTATGTAGTATGTGTTTGTGTATGCATGTCTGTATGTGCTTGCGCATGCGTGTCTGTGTTTGTGAGTGCGTGTCTGTGCTTACATGTGTTACGTCGTAGCTGAGTTTGCCATAGAGGGGGATGAAGCACGCGCGTGCGCGTGCATATGTAATAATTTATTTGACCTCTTGATCTTGCATCAAAGTGATATCCGTAGCTGTCTGACCTTAAACGCAGCGCTACACAAACCAGGTGCTTCCTGCATAACCTGCCCAACCCATCTGACCTTGCATGATGATTATACGGAACTCACACAAAGGAGGGCTCAAAATGCGGGATTCCTCTGTAAAAACCTGTACTGTGGTCACAGAGGGAGCCCATGCTAACCTTCCCAGTGTGTGCACTTACTTGGGCGAGTCTTAGAAGGACTGATTTACCAAGGGTTCCAATTCTTCGTTCGTTGTTTACAATCGTGTCATTACGATATTGAGTCATGATACGCGACCTTATAAGATATATTACGTGACAAAGAATAATATATCACACATTAACAGTACACGTGTTTTTTAATCAGAAGCGCTAATCCCACAAGGGCCACATTAGCGCTTGTTGATTGAGAAGCTATAAAAATCGATCCAAGCAAAAGGAAAGATAATTCAAATTCCTTGGATCAAAAGGCCCCTCCTAACTGTATGCAACACTGACAGTTTGGTGAATAAAACACAAGTACAACTTGGGTATTTTTACTGCTGAAACGTTTCGCCTGAGCAGCAGGCTTCTTCAGTCACGTATAGAAGTCACTAAGACAATAG